ATGATCGATGTGTCTTGTATTATTCCTCATGAGTTCACAGATCAGATATACATGTATATTTTTTAGGTTGTTAGCTACTTTGGACAACAAGATCAGAACTCAGAATGTACTTTTCTAGTTTTAATTTTGTTGTCTTTTTGTCCCTTATTTAACGTTTGTCTAGTTTTGCTCATTGTGATTGCTTTAACTAAGATATATTAGTGTTTGGGTGTTGTCTGACATTGTTAGTTACAATTGTTTATGTCTCGGTTATTAGACATCTTGTCGTATTATATATATTTTGCAGATTGTTAGCTAAATAAAAAATTCTGTCTCGGTTATTTGACATTATAACACATAGTGTTTGTCTTTATGATTGTGATTCTGTCTCCGAAGTCTGAACTGATACTAGTTTGTCTATCGAAGAAGAAGTTTAGGAACCTTGTCAGTTTACCTCATCTGCTGCAGATCGTAGGAGGGAGTCAACACCCGTCGCTGAAGATCCCAGCCGGTGGTGGCGGTTCAGCTTATACGGTGGAAACTGGAAGTCTGGAAAGATGGCTCAGAATCTTGTCACAGACATTGAGAGAAAAAGCTGAACCTGCACCACCAGCCAGAAGCATCAACAAGCAACAATCCGCCTTCACCGAAGTTCCTGAAGTCATCGGAGATCCATTTCTCGTATGATGGAGTCGTCAGTTGCTCTCTCTCACTCTCTCTTGTTTTTTTTTTTCAGGTGGCGGAGGAAATGAGGAGAAAGAAGATGTGGGACATGATTAACTGCGGTCACAAATGGGCCATCCTGTTTTAAGCTTACTCTCGCAAATATCCATCCTGCTAGGCCCGTTTTTTTCAAGATCACAAACCCGTAGCCCAATACCGCCCGCCACAAGCTTTAGCATGTCCCGCGGTCCAGTCCCTATTTTGCCATTCCTAGTTTATGGCTGCCTTTCTGTTAGTGATGATTGCTTAGTTTTCCTGCTTCAGTTAATGGTTTATCTTCAAAGGTGTTGTCTGGGTACTGGAGCATGTCACCATTTAAGGTGATTGGACTTATATTTGAATCTTTTAGCGGATATTATCTACATATCCTTTAGTGGGGAAATATCAAATAGTTTGTAGTTCATATCATCATAGATGCATAGGCTTGGTCAAAATGTGATTTTATGGAAACGTGACCTTGTGAGCATATGGAATTGTATTGATTGGAATTATATGATCAGAAGTCGCATGGTCGTACCAGTTGTTAGACTTGTCGATATCCCTCATGAATATTGATGTCGTCTATCTTAAGAGAAAAAGATCATAGCATGTGCAAACAAATAGACATGTGAAATAGTTTTTTTTTAACGCTATGTTTCTTATTGAGTCACATGGACAAAAAGTTCCAGAATTAATACAGTAAAATCAAAGCATAAAACCATACCAGTAGGTATGTCATAAGATAAGATGGATAGACAATAACAAAGAAGCTATCCCGAATCAAGGAAACATAAACGCACTACACATACGAGACAATAGTCACATGATGGTGTACGTTCTAATAGAAGGCTGGAGGAGATGTTAGTGTTCTTCGAAACTGCTTGGCTCTTCTTTTATCCACATTAGCAGCTTGAAAAGAACTAAACTTTGCATCATGCGAGAAGCACCATGGCGTAGGATCAAAACCTCACCATCTATTCGAGTGGAGACACATATGGATGCCGGAGAAAAACGCAGTCTTTAAGCTCCATAAACATCCTCCATTCCACGCTGGAAGATCTGCTCGATGCTCGACAAATAAACAACCAAAACACTGAGAGAAACAACACAAGCCAAAGCTCCGGCGTACGACACACCGAACACGGCCGAGAAACCAAGATATCAATACTGGATCTATGATATTAAGTGGACAAGCGAGCTAGTCACTCCGTCGATCGAAAGATCCGGAACCTCCATCATCATAACAGAAAATTTCATGACCAAAGTAAGAACATTCAACCAAATCGCTCTAATCGTGCTACTCCACAACAGACCGTCGGATTAGTAGCAAAAACAATCCAGAGAAACGAGGTGCGTCCACCTCTAAAGCCGAAAAACACCAAAACACTAAAACATCATAAAAGAGGACAAACAAGGATAAACGAGACTGAGGAGAGCCTCTCCAGGCGATGGCGAGGAGCGCCGACCGCCAGAGAAGCGAGGATCTCGTCAAGAAATTTGACGGCGAGTGGTAGATCTAAGAGAGAGAAAATTAGGTCTATAGAATAGAATCACATGTGAAATAGTTTCATGAGTAGAAATCTTGGTCCGCATCCGTTATGAACATGTGATAAATATGATCTTTTAGGTTGTATTACAAGAGGTTTTCTTGAACCATAAACAATAATAATTTTAAAATTTGAATTAGATGTAAAATAAAATTTATTATTGTCTTACCAATATTTTAAAATAAATTTTGATTAGTTGAACATAAAATTACAAATTAAAAAATTTTGTTTGTTTTAAATTCTATGTAAAATATATATGGTATATTTTTAAAATTATAATATTAGATAATTTTTGATCTATTTCTTTTGGATAAATTATATTAAATCAACTTATATAAAATTAATTAACAATTTGATAAAAACAAATTTTATTATTTAAAACTAAAAAATGTTTCTAAAATTTTATATATATAAAAGAAACTAATGTTATTATGATTAAACATTATATTCTTTTTGAAAAATCGTAGAAATAAAATTGTATAGTCATAAAAACAGAAATAAATATTATTTTGAAATTTGTGAAATATTTTTATATTTATATTAGTGTATTATTTAGTGTCATATTTGAATATATTTACTTAATGCTAATGTATAGTTTACTATTATATTTTAAAATAATACTAAAATATAAATCAACATTAAATATAGTTATCTATTTTACATTTAGCTATACGTCATGTTTCTATTGTTTTTTTTGACGCTGGATTGTATTATTAAGCCATTTAGGCAAATAGTTTTACACAATGAGAATTGACAAAAACAATATAGAAAAGGGATACACCAGTAGGGATCCAAAGTAAACTAACACATCTATTAGTGTATGGATGACTAAAAATTTCCATGTGAAAGCTCCATATTTGCTTCTGAAATAGTTGAATCTCGTAAGAGATAATCTTCATATTAATCTAGAAACACCACGCTTCAGACTTAGTTGAGAACGATTGTTACTCTCTTTTTATTACTCCAGTAGGAGCCAACGAGAGAAGACAACTCTTTATATTGCTCTATTGATAATAACAGAGCCAAAGAGATTACCGTTCCATAGAATTTCATGCTGTCTTTCGAAGTAACCATAGTTTGCAGCAAAAAATCCATCACCATCAAGTNCTCTATTGATAATAACAGAGCCAAAGAGATTACCGTTCCATAGAATTTCATGCTGTCTTTCGAAGTAACCATAGTTTGCAGCAAAAAATCCATCACCATCAAGTGAAGAACCATCAACGATTGAAGCCGGTAAGACCCGTCGCCACCATCCGCAGTAGATCTGTCAATTACCTTTTCTAAACGATTCAATTGAACCGAAATTTTTTCCATTCCAAATCCATTGGAAAAACCATACAGAAGAACAATCCAAAATTTCGCCAGATTCAAAATAAATTGGCAATCAAATAAACTAGAATACCATAAAGAAAACAAATCAAAGAAATAGAAATAAGAAAAATTAAACAAGCCGATGTCGGAGCTATAGAAGCCTCCGGCCATCGGCTTGAAACTAAAAAATCTTTCTATTGTTATGTCACATTTATTTAGTAAAAATGATTGTATAGAGTATATGTATCAAAATCATTTTGTATATACTGTCTTATTAACGCAGTAAAATGAACTTTTGAGTTGAATGAATTTGACATTCTTTAGAATTGTGAGTTTTATATTTATGGTAGTACTGTAGTAGTCATGTACATTTCTTAAGATTAGGAATTATTAATATATTTATCCTTTGATGATAAAACATTTCTTTTATTTCTTCAAGATAACATAAGATATTATAGAATACTTCCTTTTTTTTGCAAAGATTTAGGAAGATTATTTCTGATCTAAAATATTCATATTAACAACTCCATATTTTCTGTTTGGGTAATATTTAACTTTACATCTTTATAATATATATTTCCATTTTGAAAGTAATTATATTTTAACAATCATATCCAATCAGATATTTCCAAATTTGTAAACTATAACATGGAAACCTTATATGAAGTATTTATGGTATAAAATCTAAAAATACCTATGTGTTTAAAACTGTAGCATGGAAACTCTGCGTGAAGATAAATATTGTATTCTTCTTTTTAACAACTTGTGAATATTTTATTCATGTCAATATTTTGATATATTTAAATTTGTAAATTTACACTTGTGATTTTAAAACAGCACTACAATAATCTCCAATTATAATTTATAAAATTTTAAATATAGCATGGAAAACCTGTGTGAAGTATGGTGCAAAATGCAATTATATTTATGCATATAAAAATATACTATAAAAGTTGTGTAGATGAATACTTTATGCCTGATAATAAAAAGGATATTTTTCTATTTTACAAAAGTTTTTTTTCTAGTTTTCTATATTTTTTTATTAATTAAAATAAAACTTAAATCTGACGTATTACATAATGGACAAATTGATTTGGTATCGATTTCAAATGCTTAGTTAATTCGTTACTTGGATAAATACTAATGTAACGGTTGTCGTCTTGTAGACTAGTCATATGGTTTATATGATATCTAATTTTTACAACTCATAATTTTCTTGTCAACGTTCTTACAACTCATAGATTACACACATTTGGATGTCAAAAAAAGAAATGTACAGTCAGAAAACATTAAAAATTAACAAACAAAATGGATAAAACAATATCCAAACAGACTATTTCCACAGTACATGAAACTAAAAAGAACATTTGGTTAGCAATAAAATTGCCACTAATATATAAATAAATACATTATTATTCTATGTAATAGATCCTCAACCTGAAAAGCATATATACAATACAGACATACATATCCTCCACCCATCCTCTGCGTCACCACCACCAAACCCTTCTTTTCTCCATTAGCTTCGTCTCCAAGACTCGATTTCATCTTCCTCGTCAAAAAAGTAGCAAACCCACAACGAAAGTCTCGAACTTTCGTATTAGATCCACACCAAAAAAAAACAGTTTTTTTTTTTATTCTTCGATTCATTTCCCAATTAGGGTTTATTGAATGGGTTCTGGGTTCTCTCTCTTTACCAATGGTTCATCATCTCCCGACAGAGATCTGTTAAATCCTGGTCTTGGTGATTTGCCTGAAAGTTGCGTGGCTTTGATCCTCGAGAAGTTGGATCCGGTCGAGATCTGCAGATTCTCGAAGCTGAACAGGGCTTTCCGCAGCGCTTCCTGGGCTGATTTCGTCTGGGAATCGAAGCTTCCTCAAGATTACAGATCGATTCTCGAGAAAATCCTCGGTGGTTTCCCGGAAAAACTGCGGAAAAGAGACATCTATAACTTTCTATCTCGGGTTAATTCCTTCGACGACGGCACAAAGGTTCGTCCTTTTGTCACGTCTTATGGTGTTTGAAAGAAGAAAGTTCATGTCTTGATTCGATTCTTTGATGTTTTGTTGCAGAAAGCTTGGGTTGATAAACGAACCGGTGATCTCTGTTTAAGCGTATCGGTTAAGGGTTTGTCGATAACCGGGATTGATGACCGGAGATACTGGAATCACCTTCCTTCCGATGAATCTCGGTGAGTTTTTTTCTCACTTATTACATGTTGCATATGTTGTTTACATCTTGTCTTAATCGATTTAGTTTGGTTCTTGTCTTAATCGATTTAGTTTGGTTCTTATCTTAATCGGTTTAGTTTGGTTCTTGTCTTAATGAAATGTTTTGTTTGATTCCTTTTAGATTCTCTTCAGTAGCGTATCTCCAGCAAGTGTGGTGGTTTCAAGTAGATGGAGAAATCGAGTTCCCGTTCCCTGCTGGAACCTACAGTGTCTTCTTTAGGCTTCATCTAGGCAAACCGGGGAAGCGGTTTGGTTGGAAGGTTTGCAATACTGAACAGATTCATGGTTGGGATATTAAACCGGTTCAGTTTCAGATTTGGACTGAGGATGGTCAACACTCTTCATCGCAATGCAAGTTAGCCGGAACAGGAGCATGGAGTCATTACCATGCTGGAGACTTTGTGGTTGGGAAAGCGAAAAGCTCGTCTACGAAGCTTAAGTTCTCGATGACTCAGATTGATTGTACACATACCAAAGGAGGGTTGTGTGTGGATTCTGTAATTGTGTATCCGAGCTCTTGCAAGGACCGGTTGAGGCAGTTTTAAAAGTCTTGAAACCGAAGTTTGGTTTTGTTTAGAGGTTGTAAAAGCTATATTTTTAATTAGCTTTTTAACCTTTTTGTAGAATATTTGGGTGGTAATGAGAAATAAACTCAATGAGAGAGAGAAAAGAGAGTTTATGTTTCATTGTTTTATGTTGAATGTAAACTTGAGTTTGAAGTTGACGAGTTTTTCTTTTAACTTTCTCAATGGAACTATCTTTTTGTGGGAAGTGAAAGGGAGGCAAACCGGAATTAAGAAACTGACCCGGTTCGGATAATATTGGTTATTTACTGTATAGCTCCCACAGAATCGAATGTTATGATCTTAGAAAGGTTCAGATATACGATCCCATTGGGTATGCATCTCTTTCACTGGCCAAGAACTTGTCTTCATACGTTAAGAGAAAAAACCACAACTAAACTTATCAGCCAATCTTCAATCAAAATCACTAGTCTACACTGACCTCTTCTTGTGTCATTTTCTACTACACAGTATCTGTAAAATATCTTCCCAAATTTCGATCTAAAGACTAAAACATTTGCAGAAAGTCAGGAAACTATCGATGTTGAAATCAAAAACTAAAATGAAATGCCGTTAAAAACATGAGGCTCTATGTAATATCCGTTAGAAACAGCAACAACATCGTAAATCCCTTCACCGAGAACTTAAATAGAGTTGAGACTATCGTCAACAGAGTCAGCGGCCCATCACAGATTAGGTCTACAACGGTATTATGGTATTTTTTTTTTTGATTTGAGGACTGCAGAATTAATTTCAGGACTGTCCACTTATTTCAAGCCGTAATTTTTTTTTTTTGAAACGCATAATTAATTAGATTACCCACAAGCTGTGGATTTATTTTGTAGCCTTTACTCAAAGATACATATTCATGGAATTAAGTTATCGATTTGATAACGGGATGATGGATTTATCTATCTTTTTTTTTTTGTTTTTTTTTTTGTTTTTTTTTTTTTTTTTANTTTTTTTTTTTTGTTTTAATCTTATTAAGTAGTAATACTCATGTAAACCAACCCTTAGAATAACCTTTTAATGACATCTAGTACCAATAGAAACTAACTAATTCTAATTTTGAGCATTAATTTGTTTTAACAAAATCTTCCTTGAAAACAATCAATCAATTTCAATTAATGGTCAACATTAATGATTGATTGTGTATATATTTTTAAAATAAAATGTTAATTGATTTTATTTATAATGAATTGTGTATGTATATATATAAATTAATATAAATAATATGGTATACAAATAATATAAAATTATTTTTATTTTTATCATTTCACAAAGATTAAAACATAGAATTTTTTCATATCCAAACATAAGTAGTCCTTTTATATATATAAGTACTATTGTCAAAATTTTAAATATTACTGTACATAAATAATATAAGAATGAGATAAAAATAAATAACAATTCAAATAATTACTTATTTATTGTATTACTAATAATTTTTATATGCTAAAATTTCAAAGATACAAAACAACATTCAATACTGAATTTAATAAGTATATAATAAAAAGCAAAATAACATTCAATACAAATAATAATTAAACGCTAATATTATAATATTTAATATTTATGTACCATAAACATATACGGTATAATGCTAATTAAGTGTTAGTAGGTTAATGTTGTGGCGTGACTTAAGGTCTGGCTGGTTTAACACACTACAGTTATTATGACCCTCAACTAAGCCAACCAAACCTTCAATTATGTGTGAACGAAATATTTATTATTTTTATTAATAAAAATTTGAGAACACCTTATGTCGTATCCTGTTTTGGCCATTGACCTTCCTTTTCGGCTAGTATTTTCTCTCACCACCTCTGTGAGAGAGTCCGTTGCTTTCTCCTCTATCATTTGAAGTCCTCTTTGTTTGATATCTCATGCAATTGTTGTAGATCTCGGACTTTGTTGTTTCGTGTTGAAGTTAGCAACGGTGATTTTTTCTCTGGTGTGAGGTGGCTGTGCTTTGTTCTCGCCCAGAGGTCTCCGGTTCCTCACTCGATATGCTCTCCTCCCTCTCTAAGGTGACTGAGTTCAAGTCTTGGGTGTCTGGTGCTTAATCGAGCTCTTCCCTAGATTTTTGGTGCTTCATGACGAGATCCGCAAACTCTCCGGTGTGTTCCCCTTTGTGTCGGTTGTAGGGTCAGATTTATACTCTCGTGTTCTGGCTCATGTGAGCGGCTAAGTAAGCAGAGGTCATAACCTCTGTCTTTGGTGGTCTCGCTGCTTTAACGCTGACGAACGTCGGTCTGTGGATGACAATAGTCGAAGCCACCATGTCTTCTTCTTCCTCATCTTCAGAAAAAGTTCAAGATCACTCAAGGTCAGGTATTTGATTATTTTCAGATATGGTCCTTGTTATTTATTTTACACCCCAAACTTCCAAATATTGCTATTTTCCTTTCATATTTGTGCCAAATTTTTTGACTCCAACCCATTTGTACAAATTTTATTTGTCCACAAATCTATGCATCCACATTTTATTTGTCCACAAATCTATGTATCCACATTTTTAATTGTCCACAAATCTATTTTTTATATGCATTCACCTTTTATTTGTCCAGAAATCTATTTTATGTATAATGATATGTTTTTCATAATTAAATTGTTAAATCATATGTAAGGGATTTTAAAATCTATTGTTTTGTGTAATGATATTTTTATGGTGTATTTTTTATGCTTCTTTGTTCAGGATTTCTGTGTCCACACTTTCGTATCCACATTTTCCTCGTCCATGATTTCTCTATCCACACACTCGTAGGATATTTATCATAAGTGTGTTTGCGGCAGGTGTGTTTGTTTTTGTTTATTCTATGATGGTGAGCAGGAGAATGAAGAGTCCGAGAATATATAGGCATGTTATATGTGCACAAATATATTTTGCATTGTGTCCATTCATACACAACTTATATGTACACAATTCATTGGATTTAAATAGGATTATCCACAACCTATTATCCACGAAACTTTGTCCACATAATACAATTTGAAATTTTATAAAGATCAAAATATCAAAATAAATATATAAATATGGATCTAAAAAAAAAGTTATAATTTATTATGTCAAATGTATTTGCTTATACACTTTACTACTCTCTCTGTTTCAATATAAGTGTCACTTCAACATATTTCATGCATACTAAGAAAAAAAAAAAACAAATATACTAGTATACCCTCATTTAATGTCCAATTATTTAAATAAAAAATATTTTTTTAAAAACATCTATTGGTTAGTTAAAAGGACAAGAAATAGACTATATGTAAAAATTGCATTGGAAATGTTAAATGACATTTATTTTAAAACAAGAAAAAAATTAGTAAAATGACACTTCTTTAGAAATAGAGGGAATAGTTGATAAATAATCAACTAAAGAAATACAGGGTGAATTGATAACAAATGTAGAAAATCATAAAAGCTAACTAAACAAAAAAAAAATACTTACATTGCAAATCCTCTTCTTTCCCGGTTTCGTCTAGTTAAGGGCATAAAATTCCAGAATAACTCTTGTTTTCAGTAATTGTGTGCTACAAGTAGCAAGTGCCTCAGAGTGTAAAGAAATCTCATAATGTGGCCCATTATGCAATCAACAATTATAAGAGGTGGATCCCCCACTAGTGGTCTGAAATTTGTTTGGATTATAGTGAATAAAGAAAGAACCGCTTTTACTCTAATAACAACTAGATCATAACCCGCCCGACTGGGCGGGTCTTTATTTTTATGGTATAGATAACATTTCAAAGTTACAATTTAATGGTTCCAATTTTGCTAAGTAATAGTATATTGTTTAAACATTGTATTTCATTATGGTATTGTGTAACAGGGGCGTCGTAAAATGTTGTGACACGTAAACATTTTAGTAATAGTTTCTAAAGTTTTTTGACTAAATTTGGTGTAAAGTTATATACACTAAATAATTTAGTCAAATTTTTAGTTTAATTTTTTAATGAAGAATTGGAAGGCTAGTATATCACTGTTAAAAACTTATAAGAATAGTCAATATAAATTATATAAATAAAATATATATTATTTTTGATTTATTCTAAATACATTTAAAACATGAATACATATATGTATAAATAATTTGTAGAAATAAAGTAATATCAATGATAGAAAATCCAAAAACAATAATAATGGTACCTTGGGCCGCAGTAATCTTTAGTATGATAAATAAGCCCATTAAATTTGTATGCTATCTATGTTTCCAATCAAACTTTTAAAATTTTCTTATCCATGTTTCCAAACACTTTATTTTTGTACTTCATCTTTAATAGTATAGATAATTCAATTTTTATTTATAAAAATCAATTTTGTTTCCATATAAACAACATACTATTCCATACATTTTTCTTCACAAGAAACTTGACTTTTTCTCTTTAGATTTTTTTTGTTTTTTTCCTTCTGAAATTTTTTTTTATTAACATAATTTCAATCAGTTTTACAGACAAAACCAAGTAACACCACTAGACAGAGCTAAGGGTAAACATGTTCTTCAACTTTTTCATTTTTCCATTTATTAAAGTACACATTTGATGCATGTGTTTAATGTTATTTTGTTTGTAATTAAAATAATTTAGTTAGTTAATATTATTTTTAGTTACTTTATAACCATATTAAAATAATTTTAGTAACATGATACTATTTAAGATTAAATATATAACTAACCAATTTCTTAATTTATATAGTTTATCTTGTTATACATTATATATAACTTTCTATAGTTTAGATATACTTGTAAGAAAATATACTTATTTTATTAAATAATTTTTTTTGATAATGATGGTTGGAAACATTTTGTAGATATTTACGTTGTATGAATATGAGTATACGCATATAAGATAATTTAATTTATATTTTTTTAAATATACAGGATCGGTATATAAAATTTTATATATATACTATACGTAAGGACATTGATATGTAAAAAAAAATTACACATACATATCCAAACTAAAAATATATATGTATGACAAATACTAATTTGAAATAATATATTAAAATATTGTGACTGATACGAAAATAATAAAAGTAGTATTTAATTTCAATATAAATGATACAAAAACTTTATTATATTTATATAACAAATATTTTGTATTTTTAATTGCAGATATGGCATCTAATTTTCGGCAGAATGCAAATTCTTCTACTCCAACTGAATCAGCAGCACATGTAAAATATTTTTTTATATTTTTATGTAGTAGTGTCAGTTACGTAATAATTTCTGAACCTTGATAATATTTGTAGAATGGAGCCAAATTCAAATTGGCTTCTAGCAGTTTTTATCGATTACTTGA